GGGGAAAGGGAGATTGAGAAGCAAAGCCTGGCATTTTCTTTTTTTTTTTTTTTTTTGCCATAGGGCTTGTGTGCTCAAAGGAGAGAGACAGAGAGAGGGGAAGGGACAAATCCTTCCCAGGAGGATCTCCAGGCCACAATTCCTTCTCCATTTTCCTCTTGGGATTTTAGGCACACACACACACACACACCCATGCCTGGTGTGAGTTTCAAGCTAATGGATCTGGGACTTGAACCATGGTTGGCCATGTGGGAACTCAGCCCTTTAAACCCTATGTCACCTGCTGACTCCTGACACCTCCTTTTACTCCAGTCCACAAGCCTACCCTTCAAGCTCCTCACTCTTGCCTTTGATAATCACTTTACCTTGACATTCAGGAGTGGGGGAAAACAGAGATTACTCAGGGTGCTTTAAATGTAAGCTCCTTACCCTAGAGAGGTAGGTTCTTAGCCTCTTTTTATGTTTATTTATTTTTTTGGGCGAGGAGACCAGGTGGTTATTGTACACTTATCTAAGGTTTCAGTCTTCCACCATAATGCACAGATTCCCCAAATGCACAAAATACCCAATTTCAAGGGAGTACTTTGAGGTTAAGAAATCTGTGGTAGAAACAGCCCTGAGGACAGATTTTGTTTTCTGTTTCAATTAAACTGGCCTAAGTTGTATTTGAAGATTCCCAAATAAGAGATTTGCAGGATAGGATCAGCAGATGGTATGATGTTATGTTGTTGGACTCCTACATAGTTGATCATGGTTTGAGTCCCACACCCAGCAGCTTCAAACTCATGCCTGGTGCGTGTGCGTGTGTGCTCAAGATCCCGAGAGGAGAATGGAGGAGAAGGGATTGTGGTGTGGCCATCCTCCCTGGGGAGTGAGTTTTCACTTTCTGCCTCTCTGTCTCTCTGGCAAGCACCTGCTCCCTATAACAAAAATCTCTTTAAGAAAAAATATTTGCAGGTCTATAATGATTTAGGTCTTCAAGAACTCTCAGAATCCTAGTTTGCCTGTCTTCTCGTTTTGGAGGTGGTACAGAAGGCACAGGGAATTGGTGAGCTGCCATAGTTGGTCTGGTGTGACCTGGTTGTCCAACTGTTTCCCTGGCTTACTGAGTGGTGCTCCTTCTGCAGGGGCAAGCCACCCAAGAGAGCTTCATGATTTACACAGTGGGGTGTGAGACTGCAACACCGTGGGCAGCCCTCTGCCAAGGGTCTTTATGGAGGAAACTGTCTTTGGTTCTGGTGGCTCATGTACTACTATGCCTGAAGATAGGGGCTACCCAGAAAACATTTTGAGGTCCTCTAGTTCCAAGTGGTCAGGTTCCCTTGCTGGATAAAGTGGCCTCTGAAGGCAACACCATTGCCCTTTCTCCCTTGTAGCTTCCATAGTGGGGTGGGAGTGGGGTGTTGGCCCCATCAATCAGATCTCAGATGATGAAACTTCTCTTGAACTGGTTTTCTCCCAAGGGAGGAGGAGGAGGAAGAGGAGGAGAAGGAGAGGGACACAGTAAGCAGGCACAAACTGGTGATTAGTACAAAGGCAGAGATGTGGGGAAGGGAGCGGGGGCAGAATGAAGAACAAGTTCTAAGTCCACATTTTGATGGCGGTGGCCCATTTCCCACTTCCCTGGGCATGAATTTCACCAGCTATTGAACAGGCAGCAGCACACCATTGAATTTATGGAGGCTGTGTCTACATAATCACAGTAACCAGCTGCAATGTGCAACTCAGCCTATCAGACATTTTTCCATGGTGGCAGAAGGCCAGGAGGGGAAAAAAAGAGCAAATCTGAGATTCAGAGTTGGATTATCCTTATGAGAAAAGAGAATGGTGTGTGATCTAGATGGGAACTTCTGTCTTGATTCAGGTGTCAGAACGTGCGAGAGATTATTGAGCCAGATGGGGAAGCTCGAAATCCTTGCAGATTTCAGACATGCTGTCATTTACTGGCATCTTGCAAAAGCAAAACAGACATCGCACCGGAAGACAAACAGGTATTAGCCTTAATGGCGGCCATGTAGCAGGACCCCACTAAGCAACCTTTGCTAATGGTCCTTTTCTGGTTGCTTATCCTCTCCTTTCACTAGAGATGCCTCTTAACCCCTCTGGCTGATTTTTGACCCATGGAATTGACCATTTGTTTAGGTGTCATGAGGATACAGACGATATTTCATTTTCTCGGTACTCCCTGGGGCAAAGCCAAGCACAGAGCTCTGACTCACTCGAGGCTTGGGAAAGAAGAACCTTTTCATTACCCGTCTTATTACATTAGAAGCCTCCAATGTTGCAAACTCTCATTGCTGGGAGCCCTCTAGGAGAAGCTGCCACTGAATTTGACTTGCAGGGAAACTGAGGCTATGGGAGATTCAGTGATTTGCTTAGGGCGCCCATGGAAGGAGATCTTGCACCTGTGACCATGAAGTTTTGCACGGTTCTCCCTCTCTAGCTCTCTTCAGTTTTCAGTTTAACCAAACATGTGTACAGGAGCGTCGACTCTGCAGAAGGCACCCTGCTTGATACTGTGAGTGAATCAGAGGTGACTGAAACTAAGCACGCCACAGACCAGCACTGAGCTAGGTGCTGTGGGAGATGATATTAAAGCACCTTCCAGGGAGTACCTACTATATTCCAGACACTGTGCTAGGTACTCCACATGCATTTACTCAGATCTTGACAGCTACGCAAGGGAGGAATGATCCCCATTTCACAAAGGAGGAAACTAAGGTTTAGAGAGGGTTTATCACATGGCCAAGGCCATGCAGTGAGTAAGCAGCATTGATATTCAAAGCATTGTTGTCTAGCTCCAAAGTTGGCATCCTTCTCTCTGCACCAGGCTGAGATTTAAAAAAAAAAAAAAAAAAAAAAAGGCAGCAGCAGAAGGCTTGGTGTTAGCCTGAAGGAAATTACAGCAGAAAATAGAATGTGACCAGGGTCCTGAATAAGGCAGAGGTCAGGAAGCGGAGGGCGAGGCGGAAGTGTTCCGGGGGGGAAATTCCGCAGAGGAGCTCCTTCTGTCAGTCTTACTTGCTTACCAGGCCAGTACTAGTCTGCCTGCAGTAGAGAGAGGACTTGGATTCCAAGCCCACTTGCATGGCTACCAACGTGACCTTGGGTAGGACAGTGAAGTGATTAAAAGCCTGAACTCTGGCATCAAATGGACCTGGGTTT